ACGTGCAGGCAATTATGTTTCTAAGAGTAATCTTTTTAATCATTAGCACAGTTTTGTTCATTATGATCAATAAAACAGATAAATTGGGAATTAAATGAGGTGTATATAAAATTTCAATCCAAGTGTATGTATGATCATCGTTATGGACGAATAATTTACCGAGCCGCAATTTTTTCTCATAACCATAAGCAGATATGTAATATTCCACAATTCATATCTTCAGCAGGAGTTATCAGTCTGGGTCAGCTATGGGCCAGAGCGTTTTATTAAAATGACTTAATGAGTTGTATCAGTTGGTAGGTGTCATTTTTCACATTAGTTTGTACTGGTTTAAGCCGAATACCTACGAAACCTGCATTCTAACATGCTAAGCTAAGACATAACTGCTAAACATCAGCATACTTTTTGTCATGGTACAATGCTGGATGTAGCATTTAGCCCAAAATCTAAACTGCAAGCGCTACCATTGACTATTACACAACAAGTTTTTGGGAACTTTATCTGAGACAGTTTATAAAGGACTTGACTTCATCTAGTTTTCAGTCGGTCAGTTGTCAGATTCTATTCTTTTTCATGACTTTATCATCAGGTCCATTTCACTCCTTCTTGTCCACAGCAAAATATCCGAGTCTAATCTGTAATGAGTGTGATTAAGTTCACCGAGTGTGTTCAGTGGATAAACTCAGGCTCTAATAGAAGAAACATTTAAGTGGTGTTTTGTCTATCAGCACTTTTGTACCACCTCTAGTGGAGCTTTCCACTATTAATCTTGCTTTGTTGTGTCCCAGTTCAGTCAGCCTTCATTCCTGATGCCTCTAAGCTTTCTAGCTTAGTGTCTTGCATATTAACATAACATTTGAACCTTTCTTTTTATCCTGTGTTTACGTGAAACTAAATGAACCCTACTCTGCTGCTGTCACTTTGATAAGTTGCCTCATGCGTCGCCGCTCATTGAATATCAGACAAATAGCTCCACTGCATTCAGCTGATACGTAACACAGAGCCAATCCGATCCATGCATTTTCATAACACTTATCTTCCTGTTGGCCCTGGGCATGATGGCAGTTTCGTCATTAGAACAAATGCTAGTGTGTTCATTGATGATGGATTGGTGTGCAGGCAGGAGGGTCACTCCTCAGGTGATAGATTATGTTAATAGCTGATTTAAATATGATTATGCTGCTTATTTGCATCATGATTAAACCCTCACACATGCACACACACCGACTGGAGATTCTGCAGGCTTTTCTCTGCAGTGACAGAACAATATATTTTCATTGTTGATGTGTGAGCTAGTTTTATATGAGCAGGATTATTATTTGTCAAATCTTTTGTGAGCACAGGAGTGTGTTTTACACTAAGAGATTTTTAGCCTTATATAATGTTGACTGGAAGACCTTTGGGAGATTTTAAACTTAGATGGGTGTTAATTCCGCCCAGTGAGACTGCAATGGAAAACAAAAACGGGAAAAAAAGTCAAATGTACAACAGTGTGTATACTGTCACTGGGCGCATTGCAGCAGGAAATATCAATTCACTTAACATTCTGTTGCAGTGCAGCTAAATTCATTGCGATACTGAACTCATTTTACAATGAAGAGCAGTTTACTGATCATGAGAAGGTAACTACTGTTTACTGTAAATGTGGAGAGGCTTTACAAGTCTGAGAAAATAACATAGTGACGGCCAGTGAAGTTCCTGCCTGCTGCTTTCTTGAAAACCTGATTGAGAACTAGAAGTTTTTACTTTCTCAGAAGAATTAATGAAAAGTAATCTGTCAATTTATATGCAGTGATATCTTAGGTGTGAAATATGAGCCTGTTTCTCAGAGGCAATTTGTGATATAATATAAAATACTATATGCAGATATCAAACAGTGGTGCCGTACACATTTCACAATTCACAGATTGTAGATAAAAAGTCTTGTAGGGTCCTTGCATGTGTATGAATAACTTGTAAGTATTGTGTATATTTTGATTAGTAGGGGGAATTTATCACATGCTGCAAATCATAGCTTTTATGGAGCACATTAGTTGGAATCGGCCCCTGAGCATAATGCTGCTGTGCATGTTAAGGATTTCGAACATCACGTGTGTGTTTTTTACCAAGAAAGTACATTTACACTATAAAAACGGAAGGTTACTCATGGCTCTTCTCAGGGTTCAGTCCCATTGGTAGCAGTCTCCAGAGACCCATGAACTTTTTACATCTGTTCTCTGTGGAGCTTCTTCGGTTGAGGAACACTTTTTTACAGCATGGTCTGAAACCATTTGATGGCTTCAGAGAACCATTTCCCAGGGTTCTTCGAGAACCTTTAGCATATTTGAGGTCCATTATCGCTTATGCTGCAACTACTGGACCCTGAAAGATCTGCTGCATATTAAAATACGATCATCAGAAGGCTGAACTGTAAAACAACTACTTTTCAGTGAAATGGCTACAGCTCCACTTATTAACCAACTTTGTGGCCTGGTGCTGTCAACATCTGTTCCAGCTGCTCTTGTTTTGTTTGACTGACAAGTGAAAACCGGAACTGAATCTGGTGATGCAACAAATACCTCAGATTAGATGGATTTCGTCATTTTTGCTTAAGATATGAAAATAATTGCCAGCTGTTTCTGTCACACCTTAGACTGAAGGGGTTTCTTTCAATTATTATAACCCCTCTCACTTGGTAGAATGAGTTTGTCTGACAAGCAGATGTCTAAAGTTTCAACAACCTAAACGTTCACTGCTGACCATGCTGAGGCTGTTTGACCTGTAGGAAGAGTGCAGACGTTAACCTCCCTTTCCTTTCTGAGCTGAAGGTTAAATCTGGCCAATTATTTCAGAAAATGAGCCTGTCTAGACAATCCACTATTAATATTATTATTATTGTCATTGTAACAATTACTGTTATTCTGAAGTCTCCTCAAACTCCCCTGAGCATCTCAGATTCCCTCAAACATTAGAATGCAGAGATATTTCCAGTTGAAGCCAAACAAAAAAAGAAAAGAGTTCTGTTTAAGAAGATTCTGACGTTTGGATGAAAGAGCTGACTGGGGAGAATAAATGACTGTTTTTCTCTCTATTATTGCCTTGCAGCTGCATTTCTTACTGTGAAAAGGCTTTTCATATGTGTGTTTGATATACATGAGTAAACACACATTTCTCATGCTAATTTTCTGCGCGGCAGTTCATCTCTCACCCGCTGAGTGCCAGTATGGTAAACCGCTGACCCGGTGACTCTGGATGCCAGACAGGGCCTGTCCCTGATTGGACTCCTCGGTGCTTCAATCAGCCTAATTGGCCACGACTATACGAAGGAAACGAGAGGGGAATGCTTAAAAACAGAACAAAACTGAACTCTGGATCCTCATTATTTGTTGATTGACATGTTTTATCAAATCTCAGATTCAAAACAAGTTTTTTTTTTATTTTGAGCCATCCATGTATCCAAGCTTGTCTCACCAGCACCAAATACATGTTATGGCGTATTTGTTTTTTGGATGTAGTGTGTGTTTATGAGCTCTGTACGAGGGACAATGTTTAATTTCACCAGTAAGATAATTGGCTGTGTTTGTTAATGTATTTGCTATAATTTGGCACAAGCTTATGTTTTGTTAAATATCTAGTTATTGTAATTAATGTCAGGTTCAGAAGTTCACCAGTGGTTTATGATAATTATTACAAACTTCTCAGTGTCAATGATACAATTCATTATAAACTGTTCTAAAATGGATAAGCAACTCAAAATTCTAACAGCTTCCTTCTGTTTCATAGCATAGACTGAATATAGAAAGAAACAACATTTGGTGAAGGATGAAAATGTGTTTTTCAAACCGGTCTGGGTCAAGGTTCAGTGATTCGAAACCCCCCCCTCCCAAACACACACACACACACACACACACACACACACTGCCTTCCTGTCCCCTGTTGTCAGCGGTCCTGCCACGCGCTGTGGAATCGATTTGCTGCCCTGCACGGAAAATGAAAAAGGAGGCAGCAACCCTGTCCGTCTCTGTCTTTCACACTTACACCCATTGCTGCAGTCACCTCTCTGTCTCGCAGTTGAAAAAAAAAAAAACACACACTTTTCTACACCAGGCAATTACTGATAAAACATCATGAGCCAAGATTTATATACCGAAAGGGTACTGTTGAATCACTAATAGACAGTTTAATTTATCACTCGGACCGGTGCGGCGCTTCCCAGGGATTCAGCTGTGAAATCAGACGTGCTGTAATGTCTCATCTGTTTGATTGCTCTTCAACAGTCCAAGTGGAGAAAATGGTGGTTGTGTTCTTGATGATGGCTCTGGGATGTTGTTAGTGCGTGTGCCTTTATAAGAGAGAGAGCATTTCATGAGGTTATTTGTAAATGACATGTGGCGTTCACGTCTGTTCTCATTTAGAATAGAGGGAAGTCACAGCCTTATCCATGAATAGGTTTTTTCCACACCTCTCTGCACACGTTAATATGCCACAACAGAGAGATGTAGATTAGGGCAGAGAGAAATGGGAGGCTAGTTATTATAGTAACATTTATATTCATGGAAATTATCTAGAGTGTGATGGAAAAATATTGCCCTCCTTTTCAAATCTGTCTTTGCCATGCTGTTTGTAAGTCAAAGCTCCTCCTATAAAAAGTGTATTTTCTCTTCTCTGTTCACTTATATCTTCCAGCTGTTCCTGTTCCAGTTACTCAGAGGCCTGTCCTACATTCACCAGAGGTACATCCTGCACCGCGACCTGAAACCACAGAACCTGCTCATCAGCGACACCGGAGAGCTCAAACTTGCTGACTTTGGTAATTATGCAGGCGATTGGTGCTCTTATTCTGTGAAGCTGTTAGATTTGTAGATCTGTGAAACCTAGAAATAATTCTGAATGTCACCGTGCTTCACTTGTGGAATTAGCCACACCAGTAAAAATGACTGCACAATATCACCTAGTCGCTCATGTCATTCCATGGTACAGTATGACTCAATGTAGAATGATGACTGATGATTCTGTTCAGCATCATGGAATCACATCCTGACAAAGAGAATTTTTTCGACATGGGTCCAAAGGTTCATGCCCTAACTCAAAAAGACCAGGAGATGTAACACCCACACTCGAGTCTGCCTATTATCCTGCCTATTATTTGAAAACAGAGAAATGCTTGATGTGAACCCAAAACGGACCCGTCTCCAAACCTGTATAGGTCCTGGGCTGGTCATGGTTCCTTGGGTTTGGATAGACCCGTGAAGACCTGTTATCATGCTGATAAAGGTATCCCTGTGAGCTCCTGGTATTTACTTTTTAATCACCTATAGTGTGACACATTCCTTGAGCGATTGCAAGCTGCAGAATCGATAACATGGATTATCTCAAAAGCTTAAAATACCCTCTTGTCTGATTCATCTATATGATTTCAGGAGAGTTTTCTCTCTAGTTTTTGGTTCCAGAATTGGACTGGTTTTAAGTGGTTTGTTGGACCAGTAAATATTTTGGTCCACACAATGACATCTTGAAAACGTATTTGTCCTCTTGATCTTTTCATCTAGTGTCCCACTCAGACAACAAGTTCTTGAAGAATTATTAAAATCAACTTTGCAGAATGCCATGAAAGTATTTCATGGTATTTCAAAGCCTAGTAAGTGTGTGTGTGTTTCTGCATGTTTGTGTGTTAGGAACCCTGCCTGAAGTGGCAGCATATGGCTTAGATCCATGCTCAGTAAACACTGCCTACAAGGCTCTTCTGGCATCCTGGGGGGCAGACAGACTGACAATCCAGCCTTCTGTACACTTCATCCATCCATCACCATTCTTTCACCCACTTATTCCCTAAATCCTTGAAACTCTCCCTCTCCTTTACCCATTCATCTACTCCACCCTCCCACCCCTTCTGACCTCTTCTGGGTGGAGGCTTCATTAATAATGCAAACCTTGTATTAGTGCAGAAACATTACTGGGAGGAAAATGAGAAAGAGAAAAAAAATTGCACAAAATACCAAATGAGTGCAAGAATGGAAATCCCCGGTCTGTCGCTGGAGCTGTGCTCATCAACCAACAGGCGCAAACACAGAATCAGCCTTTGCCTGAGGGGTGCCAGATGACGAAGGTGAAGGCCACTGGAGTGTGTGCACGTGTGTGTGTGTGTGTGTGTGTGTGTGTGTGTGTGTGTGTGTGTGTGCATTGTGTGGCCGCCAGGGCTCCCTGTGGTCCCAGGCCTTGGCAGCAGGAATACTAACGGCTGACAGCTGAGGCCAGTGGCGCTGGTTGAGAGGGATGGAGGCAGAGTATCAACAAATAAGGCGCTGAGGGGTATAATGAGGGAGGGGAGAGCACTCAGTGTGAATGAGCCTGATAGCAGGGATGATACAGAGATGAGGGATGGCTCTGATGAAAAATGTTATTGTGCCTGCAAATGACAGTAGCAATTCTGGTAGAAAGAATAAAATGTTGGCTGTGGTCGAAAAGTAAAAATGTCTTCTTACCACTTTTCCTTGACCTTGATGGAAAATAATGAGATCATGGAAGGATTGAGAGATGAATTCATAAGGAGCTAGAGTCAACTGCAGTGCTGTGAGAATCTGATGGCACGTACACTCGTTTTTTTATTAAATAAACCCTTGTAAGATAAGTACAGTGACAATCAATGATATGTAGGCTTGCATTTAAAGTAAGATTTTCTGTCCAAGACTGAACCATACTTTCTAAGTAAGGAAGTTTTCCACTTTATAATGTGGTGCATTTAACCATCAATTATTCATATATAGCTGCAACAAAAGGGATACTGTTGAAAAGATAAACAACACCAACAGGGTTGAAAAAAATGTATAGTATGAGAGGAAAATACAAGTAGAGAAAGATGAGTCATTTAAATAGAAATTAGATAAAAAATAAGGAACTGAGAAAGTGGCCAAAATAATTTATATTCAGACAAATTGGCACTTTTGATATTTGTCATACATTGAATCCATAAATGCATGTGTTGATGTATTAAACAGATGGCTTTGGTAAAACAACATTTATAGTATTAGTGTTGTAATGATGATAGTGTTAACTGTTAATTAATATCTCCAAACTTAGAGGAAAGAGAGGAAATGGTCCCTCCCTTTAAATGTTGCTGCAACAAGGAATTGTGGGACAGTGTCATCTCTTATGATTTAATAAATGATGATTCCGTTTTTCCTATTCTGAAGAAGATAGGAGAGGAAGTATCGAGGCTGCCTTCCTTAGTATTTAGAGAATACTAGCTCTTGTCACGGCTGCCACTTAGATACATCTGAGTCATTGCACTTAGTCAGGAACCGTCCTAAGCAAAAAAGACAGTTTGACCACAAGCTGCAGTTCCCAGAAGATTCTTATCAAACTAGATGTATGGAAGAGCAGTAGTGCTGCTCTGTCCTCTGTATCTCAGCTAGTTTACTATACCACACACCCAGCGGTGCCATACAGTAGATTATTCTCATTGATGCATTTAATTTTAAATAACTTAACTGACCTCTTTGACCTTAAAATGTCCACATTACCAGTGTTTTGCGTGTTTCAAACATACCTCCACAGGTTTAATAATGGTGAACACGGTTAAGTTTTTAACATCAGCATGTTATCAATGACTGTTGGGATGGTTATGAGATAATTGTCGATTTAATTGTCAATAATGGTCTTTTTTGGTATTGAAGTAATGGGTAGAATTTGTACACCACCTGCAGCTTCTCTGCTTAGACACTGTTTCAGGGTCTCCTCCCTTCACACTATCTTCACAGGGCAGCATCTCAATCAAATGCACAATCTAATTGTTGCAGTCAGTACATCCATAACTAGAGATAGATTGACAGATGGATGTGTGGGGACAATTTTGCTCAGTAATAGGGAATATGGTGGTGAGCATATGGTCTGTACACATCCGGTTTGTTTTAATTGGACCTGACAGTTCCTGAGCAAGAACCATGCAGCATGTTGAGCTGCAACACGCACAAATTGGTTTAAATCATGATGACACCAGCGCAAATATGTTTTGAAGGGAACATAATTTCAATCAAATTACTTTTTCTATTAAACAAACAACGATTTGTCATTCATTTTTTGTATTTGGCAAGTTGCAAATATGTGGCAAGTACCTCATTTTACTGATGTAAAATGTTAAAGACAAGGTTAGGTTTGGTTTAATACAGAAAAATCACATTGTTCTGTACCAAGGACCAAGAAGCTGGAACCAGATAATGAGTTTTGTGTTTTTGTTTTGAAAGTACGTTGACAGCCTGTCATTTGCTTGTAAAGAATGTGGAAGAAAGAATGAGTGACTCAAGGCTTCCACAGACCACCCAGCCAATCGTCCTGTTTGTCTGTTGCACACCAACAATAATAGGAGAGATATGTTTATGAACCATTTAGGACCTAGGTGTTGGATTAAAGGAAAGTAAATGGTCGCTGAGTATTTGATCACAGCTAAAGTAGCTAATGTGTTCTGATGTGTGTGTTTATTTCCTGGGCCGTTGTTGCAGTGTAAAGTAACAGCTGCTGGGATAATGATGTGTGAGGAGTGAAGCAATGTAACAATGGTGTTGGAGGAATTTCTCAGGCAACTGCAGCAGACTGCCTGCCTCTCCCCAGTGTGCTGTACCACCCTGCGCCTCACAGTAACACCAGGACGAGTGGGCTTGTTGAATGTGGATTTTTGGAAGTTGCAAATGGTCGTTTGAAGTCCATTAGATGAATAGAGGCTACAAATGTGTGTCTATGTTTTTTCTGTCCAAACCTGAGACCAGACTGAAATAACGCGTGTGTGTGTGTGTGTGTGTGTGTGTGTGTGTGTGTGTGTGTGTGTGTGTGTGTGTAATGACCTGATTGGTTTCATGTAGGCAACTATAATGCAGAGCTCATTACCAGCCACTCTGTTTTGGGAAATGAGCTGGGACTATGGCAGGTGGTGTGTACACACACACACACACATGCACACAGACTTATTTTCAGTGAGCTAGAAGCAATAACTTTTATATTTTATTTTAGAATATAGGACAAATGTTGAATATCCCTTGTACGTTTAAAGGTTAGGTTACCAACTACCAGTAGATGTTAGCAGGTGTTAGTGGCCAACAGTGGATGTTAGGGACATAATTTCAGTTGTGCTCCTTAATGTCATCTAGTGTTTTGAGCTTGTAATCAATCTAACTGCCCAAACTTGAGGGTACGCTGAGGCTAAAGGTAAATCTGACTGGCTGCTGGCTTGTATGGCAGTACTATGAAAGCTCAGCAGATCAGGCATCATTACCTCTATGCCTTTTTTAAACTTGACACTGTCCCATTTTAGAACATATAGGACAAGATGGACCACTCCTAGTTAGATGGAGCAGTTGTGCCTGGTCATATGTATAAACTCTTAGTGAGTAAATGAAAGTATATTTGAGTCTAAATGGTAAACTTAGATCCAGTGGGTGAGGAACCTCCAGACTCCAGCCACAGACACAGAGACATAAATAGATGATCTGGTGGAAATGCATGATTTTCACTTCTGTTTAGTAAAATTAGGTTACTGGGAAGAGGTGGGAGAATGGACAGGGAAGCTCAGGTTACTGAAAGACGGAGACAGGTAAGTAGTTGGTTTGTTCGGTCAAGTGACTGGTTTGGGAATAGGCTGGGGAATGTCCAGCCACCAGGCCAAATACAGCTTTGTAGCCGATTTAATCTGGACCACGAGGCAATTCATAAGTACAAAACAATTGACAAAAGAATTTAAAAAAGGAAGAACACAGAATATAAGGAAATGATTGTTTTGTAGATGTAAAAACAAGCCATTTTGTCTTATTTGCAGGGACGTGTTGCCAGTGATGAAAAAGGCCAATCTCAGCATCATTACACCAGGGTGTATTATGTCCTAGAGTGAGCCTGGTGCAGTTTGCTGGAGACGCATGTATCAGACTTTGAAACTACTCAGACATGGAAATGGCTTAGAAAGTGAAAGACACTTAAAAGTATAGTTGAGACTTTGATATAAGGTGGCATGAGGTACTGGTGCATGAATATTAAAGACATAGTTCAAAAGTTTGGAAAACACTTATTCACTGTCTTTACAAAAGTTGGTTGAGAAGATCAATAGCTCAGATCTTCATGGTTCCTTTAAAGCTGGAGTCAGGATGTGGTTTTAGTCTAGATGAGCATAAAGACTGGAAACAGGGGGAAACAGTTAGCCTGGGCCTGTCAACAGTTATTTGAAGTATCATACTGGAGCTGTTTTTTATCGGGCAACCAGCGCTACACTTCCATCATGGTCCTCTTTTACATATGCACAGCATATACAGACAATAATGATTTGAATGAGTATTGCAAAGACACCCATCATTACCTAGATAGACGAATATGGCACAAGGAATTCCAGTGCGAAATAGCAGTGCAGCTTGTAGCAGTGGTAAAGCTATCTCACAAAATACAAAGTGTTTTTCCCCCAAAAAAAGGTTTATATGAGGGTATGAGTAAATCACACTCATAGCGGAAGGGTCTGAACCTTACACTGTCAGAGTCTGCACAATGACGATCAGGGAAGGGAGCCACATTAGTCATGCAGATAAATGTGCAGAACCAATCACGAGTCAGTCGCTGTCAATCATGACATTTCACAATTTTTCATAGCATTAAACAAGTAATTATAACCTACCAAAAAAAACTTACCAAACTTGACATGATAGTTGATTAATGTCTTACCCACTAACACAGAGGTGGCAGGGTCTATGACATGTACTGCAGCCAGCCGTCTTGTCGTCCATCTTTATATACAGTCCATGGTGTGAACTTATAGTGTTGCTCTCAGGTTTGATTTTCACTTCGGCCTACAGTCGAAATCACTCTGATTTCTTCCATGTCTACAAACGTGTGACTACGACAAATAGTGTCTTGTGCTACATGTGTTTAGGAGGGGTGGCAGTGAGTCAGAATTAGTTCAGAATATGTTTTCGTTTCCCTTTCGGGAAATGATATGTAACAACATTTAAATACCTGCTGGCAGCATACTGTCTAACACCCAATCTGCTGCCTGGTAGAGGAGAAGGAGGAGGAGAAGCAGGCAGGAGCTACAAACTGCCTGTAAAATCCAAATGAACTTCAAAAGAACACTGGGCTGGTTCCCCTGAGGAAAGAGACTATTTTAGTCCTTCTCTCTATCCCTGTTCATCCTGTCTTACTCCAGTTTCCAGCCCACCTCTTCCACTGTGAAGTATATTTTGTTACCCGCATTTTAATGTGAGATAGAGATGATATTGAAAAACAAGAGACCGGTGAGCAGTGTGCGTGTGTTTGTTTGTATGTGTGCGTGCATGAATCCATAGGTCACTTTGAAGTCGTGCGCTTTGGACTTGTGGGGTTTTGAAAGGGAAGGTCAGTAGTAGCGTCCACACCATTGTCCATTTCCTGCTAACTTATCTAGCGAACAACAAGGTGATTGAAATGTCAAAGCACATGAAAGACACCAGAACAAGCTTTGCTTATTTGAACCACTCTTTCTGTCTGGCTGAGATTGTTTCTTTACGTGCATCGTGGTAAAAGGCAGTGTTGTGCAATTTCACACTTAAAAAGAGAAAGATATTGACAATAATAATATTGAACAATAAGACTGCTTCAACGTAATGTATCGTTTTGAATTTGTTGCAGATATTTGATCTTGTTTTTCAGCCCTGGTGTATAGAGATGTAAGAGATTCTCTATCTGCATCTGTACAGATTTATTAATGTTTCCCTCAAGTATCCCTGACATGCATATCCATGCTTCATCTAAACTGCTGTTAGCATTAGCCATGCTACATCTGCATGCCAGGCGCCGTAAATTGGTGCTGTAAAACAAGAGTGAACGACAGTATTCTGTTTCACTATTAACTTTAAAACACAAGAGTACAGTGAAATTACAAATACAAATACTACAACAACACAAATATTGGAACATTAATGTAATGTGTTTTATAGTTTATCAACCATATATGACCTGTTAGACACAATAGGTGTTTCTAATAACCCATAACAAAAGCCATAGAGTTACGGCTATACAACAAAACATATATAGTTTAGTTTTTTTAATTTTGGTTTCCAATTTTTAGTCTGTGATCCACACTAACCTTTGTTGCACATTGACCTCCTCTAACCTACAACCATTATATTTGTCACTATATCGGATTGTATGGGGTATTGTCTACAATGCATGCTGGGAGACATCAGCAGCCAAATGCTGTGCAGACCGTGTTGTGTCGTTTCACCCAGACTCTTGCTTTGTTCCCTTTTACTCTAAAATACACTTGTCCATATTACAAACACGCCAACCTCCTACTACTGAACCTTATGATGAGTATATGTTGTCTCCACTCACACACCATCTCCTGCAATGGAAATGATTACCTCTCAGTGTGAGCAGCTTGATGGTGTCTATTCTATGTGTGGAAATTACAGGGCTTGGCCTTGATGAATTCTGGTCGAAACTCCTTTCTCCTGTGGGTGTTCAAACACAAGGAAATGTTAAATACCCCTTCCCTCCACTCATTTGTTTCCCCTTCTGCTCCTCTTCCTCCCACTCACAGGGGACTAGCAGCAGGGCGGGAAGTGTTTTTTCTTTACCAAGCTAAATGCTTTAATTAAGCCTCTCTGACCACTTGGGAAGAACCAAAGAGGTAATGCCATCAGCCTCATTAAACCTTGCTGCATCTGCACTCTGCTTACAATTAGCTGCCATGAGAGGCACCAGATACTTAACTAACCTGCCTTTGTGTCGCTGCAGAAATAAATGTTAGAATAACCTGGAGAAGCTTGTGCATTTATAAAAACCCTGGAGAAGGTTTTGAAATTCAGCAACCTTGTGTATTTCACAAAGAGAGATGTATCCAGCTGTCATATCACTAAGGATTAACAAAAGACTAGTATAAAAACAGTGTTAGGATTCACAGAATTTGTGCAGAACACAGAAGGCAAACACAAGGTGGATGAAAGTCGAGAAAGAGTTATTTACAATAATAAAAATGTCACAGTCAACAACAAGAGCAACCAAACTAGTGTGTCTGCATGTGTTGAATGGTTTAATGAGTGGATGAGCTTGAATGAGGATCAGGTGCATGGAGGATTAGGCTGGAGGAGCAGGGACCTGGAGTCAGGCCCAGCCAGCAGCACACACTAACAGGGGGCAGAGCAGAGTGAATTGGAAAAACACACACAATCCTACCAGACATCTGAGTGTTGGCCAGAAAAAAAGCCACAAGTTCACGATACTAAAAAATTTTGTCATATTCTTTTGGGCGGAAAAGGAGTTTTTTTGTCTGTTGGGTTCACCTGTTCAGGTCAAAGTTCTTCTATCACAATTTGCATTTGGAAAAGCAACAACAGAATTGTCACAGTTCAATGAACAGAAGTCAGTCCAAAGACAGATCAGCAAAATGTAGAGATGAATATGATGCTTTCAACATGTGTACATTGGATTATATAGAGATTGCAAGATTTAGATATGTAACCAGGATATATTCAGACCATCAGGCTTTTCATCAAGCAAACACAAAACCCTGCCATAACCAGCTGTGGATGTGTTGGTGCCCTCACCCTGACACCTTTCAATTTTAGGGAATTACACAACCACTGCTCCGCTGATTCTCTCAGGTGAATAAATTGAGATGACATTTGCAGTTGATATTAATATTAGTTGGGTGATGACCTTTCCTTTAGCACCACTATAGGGGTAACATTTCTGCTTACACATAACCAATTTGATTACAGGTGAAACTATTAGGGATTTTAGTGTGGAGTGTTTTATGATTCAACATCAGCTCTCACTTCAGTCATCAGAAAAGAGGTTCTCTATTTTTAGGTTCTTCCATCAGTGCCTGTGCTCACGCTTCCATCTTTAGTTCATTGAAGTGCAATATGGGACTTAAGTAGCAGTCAATCTAAATCATGAAAATAATCAGGTTTTGACAGAACAAATAAAGATGAAAAAATAATGTTTTTTAAATGTTTTTAAGTTTAAAATGACAACCAAACGGAAATGTCAAGTTAGTGATCACTGTCAAAATTCAGTATAACTTCTCCACTTATAAAAAAACCCCACCAGTACATGCAACACCAGTGCCATACAAACCACCAGTATCCACAGTGCCTCATCTGTACCTGTCACTGCAAATGTTTATTGTTCGTGCAGAGTTCAGTGTTCCACTTTGCTGATGATGGCATTGTAAAGTGATGACATTTCATATCCGTCGAAGGTCAACTTGAATTTATTCTGGGAAACTTGTGAGGCCATTATTTAATGCCATATCAGGAACACTTTACTTTGTTAGTCTGTGTTTGTGTCTGTCGTTATCGGAAGTGAAAACTGGAAATTCCTGTGCTACAAAGTAGATGACACAAGGATCATAGCAGTCTCCAGTTTTCTTCTCCCAGGGAGGTCATTCAGTGATTAGCTTTCTTATACTATGCTTTTGTGCTCTTCTAGGCCTGGCCAGAGCCAAGTCGGTCCCCAGCCACACCTACTCCAACGAGGTTGTGACTCTGTGGTATCGGCCTCCAGATGTCCTGCTGGGATCCACAGACTACTCCACCTGCCTGGACATGTGGTGGGTACTCCTCACCTCTAATCCCGAAATCCCCCCATACACTAATTTCTCATCACTCTTTGTGTAATAAATCCTTGACTCATTCAGATGTTCTCATTAAGATTTAGATATGTTTGTTCAAGTGGGGTTGCAGAACAAATCCTGAGGTAGACAAAACCTATTAAAACCCACTTATCTGCATCTCACCCAGACCTGGGCCTGTTTTCTTCTAATTTTGCAAATGAGAAAAGCTGTTAGCAAGATTTGGTGACCAACTGATTATTGCACTTGTGCTTCGCTAGAAAACAACTGACATGTGGCAGGCAGAACAAAAACGTATATGTTTGTGTGTGTTATAAACCCCTCCTCCTCCATGTTAACAGACAAGACATCAGATTGATACATATAGTATGGGGAAGGCAAACAAAGACACAACATAAACTACATCTTATGTCTATTGTCTTACAGGGGGAATGTTTAAGTTGGTACAGTCTCTCTATGGTACCTTATACAGTGGTTCAGATCTATCAGTCTGCATCTCACCTTGCCTGAGGCCCACAGATTTAAGAATCACATGATAATATTTCAAAACATTTAAGTTGAGTTTCAGATTCTTTCATACATGTGTTTAAAATAGAGAAAGATAGTTTTCAGTCCAGTTTGGAATGCAGTGCAATTCATGACATCAGTCTCCATTTAGCAACCCCCCCCCCCTCTAAGAGGTGAGACATGTCATGTTGGGTTAGTACGTGGTGTGAGAGGAAGGTTCCTGATGCTGCAACAGTCAGAACATTAGTTTGAGATCACGTCATTGTTGTAATGAGTTAAGGTGGACAAATCCACCTCCATCCCACTGAGAGCCATCCTGTCACATGAACTCACACATACCTGGTCACTTACAAAGATGTCTGATGAGGAGACTTAAGGACTAAAAGATTGTGCAGATCTGTTTGACTGCCTTGAGAAGAGAGGGGGGGATATGATGGAAGACAGGTGAGGAGCTGCTCTAGTCTGACCTTCTGAAGCACATGATCGAACGGCAACTTGACTAAATTCAGTCAAGTGTGATCGTGCTCAGTTTAATGTGCTTGTTTAGTTCTGGTAGGCTGCTCTGCAAAACATCTCCAACTGTTAAGGTTATATATATACGATGTTCGCTGCCACCAGATTTCGCACTACAACACAGTCTCTTGGAAGTTCCTGGAATTTATATTCAATATTTGTTTTTTTTGACATTCAGCACATTCAGCACGTATTTCAATCAGAAAAGTTTTTCATGGCAGTTTACTTTTTTGTCAGATGGGGCTGTGCGGCACAGAAGCTGTATTTTTCTCATTTATTAGTTATATTTAGACTCTAACCACCACATTACTAAATGTTTAATCACAGGATTGGATCCTTGATTTTATTTCTTTATTTTAATGTTATCATCTCAGTATTAGATTCTAAGTCTTGCCAACAGTTTCAATGTTTGTTATGTAGGTCAGTCATTGGGACTTGCTGTTCGAAATTAACTTAGCATCTACCACAGGACGAAGCAATGTTGTAAGATTGAGAGAAAGATGAGAAACTGTGTGAATGTTCAGTCTCATTTCAAGCAGACAAAATGAAAAGTATAGTTGTTTGGATGCTGGTAACTCTTCCTCCATGGAACGTGTCATGGTTTGTCAGCCAATAATGGAGCTCTGTGTCAGAGGGATATCACAATAATATATCTGGCTTTAGATAAACACAAAAATATATGTTAGTGGAATACATTCATTGTTGGTTTTGGTATATTAATGTAATTCTTTTGACAATAAACCAAATAAACATTAGTGGTAGAGATGCTGTATCCTTTCTCTCTGTTGCAGCTGCACAGTGTTAATTCAGAGGGGCCGCAAATGTCTCACCACAGATAATTAGGGAGGGAGGGACACAGAAGATGAATACCAGGTTTCACAAGCATCATTTACTGTACCCATGAGCTAATGATCCAGATGATAGTGTCAGAATATGAATAAAAAGTAGAATTTGTAGATGAGCTTGATAGAGAGAACGTTTGAGAAACACAAAGGCAAGTTCTGATGAAATTAGGTCTCCTTTTTTCTGTATTGTTCCAAGTAATCAGGGAGTGAAAACCACCCACAGAAAGTCTCTGAGCAGTTTTGCAGTGTGAATCTCTGTAAGTGGTATTTTTCTGTGGCAGAGGCTTTCCAGTCCTGTCACAGATCTCCTCTCAGTAAACTCTGCTGCCACCAGGAGGGTTCATTATCTGTCTGTGAGCAAACAGGTCTGTATTTACTGAGGCTCATTTACTGTGTGCTAAAACTTAACCAGTGACAGACTGGTTTACTGAGAATTTACAATCCCAGCCCCTCTGACACTGTATCATTACTATAACAGCAGGGATTAAACGCACACTGTGTGTCCAGGATAATAAATGCATTGAGCAGTGTGAACTGAATTTAAAAAATAGGACAATTATATTAGTAATATCCTGCAAATGAATTGTAAAATCTGTTTGTCTGTGTGTGTGTGTGTGTGTGTGTGTGTGTGTGTGTGTGTGTGTGTGTCTTTTTGTTTCCACATCTGATCAACTTCAAACTTTGACTATTTGGATTTTCATCTTGTTACTGTTGTCGGGTAGTAACTTCATCATCTACTTTGTGTCATACAGTATGTTTGAACATACAATATGATATTATATGAGTGATATATGAGAAGGCAGCTGTGGCTGAGTAGAGCGGTCGTCCTCAAACCAGAAGGTTGGTGGTTCGATCCCCAGTCTTCCCTCATGCTGGAGCATACAAAAAAAGCGCTACTAATAGATGCACTGTATGAATGTGTGTGTGAATGGTTGAATGTACTGTAAATACAAACCATTTACCATATCATATAAAGTGTGAATTGGTAGAAATATCTAAACCTGTATGAAAAATGACCTTTGTAGACCCTCCCATTCACACTTCAGCTAACAGAGCTGTTCGCTATGTTCCAGTAGAACTATGGAGGATGAGGTTACAGCTGTGTGGTGGAGATGGAGGGAGCGTTTCCAGTCACTGCAGGCTTCAGTAGTTTTAACATGGGCAGAGTGTAGGGGGAAGTATTCTGTGGAATGTATTTCTGGTGATCTCTCTTTCTCTCCTTTCTCCCTCCCTCTCTCTCCTGTCACATTTCTAGTGTTTGAGCTCAGAGTGTGCATTGAGCAAGAAAGGAAAGTCAGGAAGGAAACAACAGCACAAATGAGCTCTGACAACACACACACACACACACACACACACACACACACACACACACGTTTGTACTTCTATCTTGGGAGCGAGGACACTCATTGGCCTAATGCATTCCATAGCGCCTTACCCTAACCCCGACCATCCAAACTAAATGCCTAACCCTTACCCTAACCTAAACCTCATTCTAAACCTAACCCTAAAATCAAACAGCAAACAGCCCTTTGAAGAAGTGAGAACTGACCAAAATGTTTTTACTTTCTAAAAACGTCCCCTCTCTGTAGGGTCTATTCTTTAAATGTTTCTCACTATGATGTAAGTACAGGAACACACACACACACACACAGACAAACTGTAAACATACACTATATATTTTCCACTTTCTCAGTTTAACCTACTCTGTATTTATTGATTTATTTGTTTATTAACCTGTATTAACCAGGTTAGTCCCGCTGAGATTAGATAGACAAACACAGATTAATAACATTAAAACTTGATCGCATAACAATCACGAACAAGAGATTTTTACCAGAGCTTTGAACTGGCTCAATGTTGCCAGGTTTTGAATCAGTCTGTAACTTATTCCATATGCTGCCAAAATCCTTAAAATACTACAGACAAACCAGTCTTTACTACATTTTTTTTGCTAAGTTTTGTTTAATAATTATTGTAATGATGATACTATTGAATTTGCTGCAGGAAATCTGTATCGTATATCAGAACAAATTTAAGAAACCACCTGTTTATCGTGGAGTTGAATGAGTGGAATGCTTCAGCTGAGCCTGTGTTAAACAGGAGGTCTCATTATGTGCCACTCTGTCTTTAGGGGAGTGGGCTGCATTTTCATTGAGATGATCCAAGGAGTGGCTGCCTTTCCGGGGATGAAGGACATCCAGGACCAGCTGGAAAGGATATTCTTGGTGAGTCACTGATGTTGCAATGTCTAAGTGTGTGTGATGTGTATGTATGAGTATGTGTTCTGCTACGGGCGTTGCAGAAAACATCCCGCTCTGCAGCTTGCATCAGTTCTGCAGGGTCTCCTGTCTGTCAGTCCAACAAGGCTGAGCATTAACTGAATGTGTTTTATACAGTTGGAAAACATTTCACTCATGACGCCACAATGATGAAACATGCCCTCATTAATCGAAAATGTTATCTTGTTGTGTAGAAACATATCCCTGGGTAAATATTGAACCAGGATTGCACCGACTGAAATTGACACAATGCAACCCAGGGACATGCCAGACATTTTGAGAGGCTGCTGCGCTAACCTGAAAAAGGGAAACTGCCTTGTTTGCTGAGTACTGAGAAATGCTAACTTCCAATACTCAGCAGATTTAATGGACGTGTTTTGTCAGTACTCGATTAGTATTGAGGGTCAAAGGTTCTACCTCAGAATGCAAGGGATTCTTTTTTTTTTTAACTTTGGTAACTTTGGTTGTATTTGTGTTTTTTTATGAATAGTTATTTATAATAAAGGTCATGGTTAAACTGTGACATATCAATCATCAATTACATGTCTTTGTCATAAAGCTTTGAAAGCATCATCTTAGGAATCATTGCCATTTTTTAAATATATGGGAAATGTTTTGCTCCCTTATTTACTCAACATGAATAAATTGTCATGGATAAAACCTTCCTACATCTTCTTTCCTCCTTCCGCGGACAGATCTGTCAGCAGAAGTGTTGATCACAGAGGAAGTGGTGCCAGCGTGTGAGCTGCTTCAGAAGTAGTGTAGAGCTCAGAGCCCCACTGTGGTGATGTAGGAACAGGATGTGCCTCTGCCTTCCTTCTCCCTTATTTCTCATACCACTTTGCAGTAAGGTTGTGCACCGGTTTGTGCGACATGACAGAGCTGCCATGTAAGTCGCTGTGCGTACATTGACTCAACAGAAAAGGAAATAAGGTTAAAATTACTGAATGATTGGATTGATCGGTTTAGCTGGCACTCATGTATAAGCAGGCTCTCCATTTGTCATATATATATATATATATATATCATCATTTTAATTAACAGGTTAAATAGGCTCAAATATTTTCTGTGGGATGCTCAAATCTCACCTGGACTGTGAATCTTGGTTCCTCTTCACATCACCCACTAATGCCAGGGTTAGGATGTGATAAAAACAGCATGAATCATTCCCTCCATCCTGCCCTGTCCCCAAGGTCCATGCCGGTAGTCTAATGATGTGTTTTCGTCACACAAATTATATCCATTAATACCAGTCAAGACACATTAGAATTCTATGTGCATATAATTACTGCTGGTTTATCCATCTGTGGCCACAGTCTGTTTGCAGCAGGATGTCACACCACGTCACAAAGTAGCCATGTTCTCGGGAATGTTGCCTCAGTGGGAAGATCTCTGGGTTTACAGCACAAGTACCACCATGGTTCTGAGTCAGCATGGAGCAAAATCCCAGAGGAACATGGCTGGAACAATTGTGGAGGCACTTGACTGATGAACAATACAGGACAGTTGCCAATAAGTAATTACATTTCTGAATGTATCTATCTTGGTTGACTAGCATTAATATTTTAAAGTCAAGTGAGGCCTCATGAATCATTTCATCGCCTGATCTGCCATCCCTCGACATAATTCCATCTCCAATCTCTTAATTGAAGCAGAATGTAACAGGGCAGACATAATGGATTTATATTCATAGGCTGGAGGGGCCTGAATAATTAATTCAGACAATTACAGAGATGAGAGTATGAGAGGGGTTTGACCAGAGAAAAAGTCAAGTATGGAGACAAAGCATGTTCACATTTGGCCTCTGGGTGGAATGCCAGAGATAGAGAGTGGAATGAGAATGCAGGGATGAGGAGCGGTGAAGGGAGCCCTGCAGGCAGGGGATCACTCACAAAGCACAAAAAAACTAGCAGAAGGAAAGTAAGATGAAGAAAAACACCTCTTATTGATTGTCTTTTATGCCAGAAGGGGAAAGAGGGACTTCCTGCACACATCTACAAGAGCCTCCAGCGCTAAGTGATCCCAGCTCCTCTCCCAGACGCAGACACACCATCATAGTGTGAGAGAGGAAGAAGCCCAACACTGGGATGGCCGCTGGCCAGACTCACAATGAGGCTCAGCTGCACGTTGCCTCCCTATAGAGGCTTTCCAGTGTGTTCAGAATTTTTTTTCCTGCAGGCATCATGGAGGTTCACTGGAGAATTAGATACGATACAGCCTGAATACCTAAAGAAGAACATGGAGAAGCTAATGATTCATTCTGTGGTAGTCAAAGTGACTGTCACATGCTGTTTGGAATTAGAGCAGACTATGTTCTGCATTTGTTGGTTCCTGCTGATGATGAGGTTGATTGTTGATAAAGGGTAATAATGAAAACTCTGCTCCTGGTAAAGTGGAGGCAACGTCCCAGTAGAATTATGTTGTTGTGGTCTCCCCAACACCCCCACCATTATAATGTCATATAGCCAAATCATAATGTTTTCTACACTTATAGTAGATACTGACAGTAGTTTGAAAATAGTCTGTATTTATTTAGTGCTTTTACTAGTCTTGATGACTCAAAGCTCTTCACAGTGCACCCATTCACACACATTCACACTGTGCATCTATGTGCAGCACTTCGTCTATCATACCTCACTCACACAAAGCCTCAGGGGTAATTTGGGGTTCAGTATCTTGTCCAAGGACTTTTTATTACTATTTTTAGAGACTGGGATCGATACAGTGAGCTTCTGAAGAGCGGAAGACCCACTCTCCTCCTGAGCCACAGCCGCCCCGCTTGCAATCCTTTAAAACCCACTGATATATGTATTCACATTTCTTAATCAAATATGAATACCAATAAGAATACAACAATATTGAAATGTTCTAAATGAATAATAATAAAATAAATGTATTTATCTAAGACCATCTGAATTAATTTAAGATTTACAAGTAAAAAAAGCACTATTCTTTAAGTTTAAATATGATAAATAGCTGCCACATGACAATTATGATTATAGTGAAATCAAAGCTTACAGTTATAACTGATTTCAGTTTGGGAAGTTTACATTCAAATTTAATCTTCATGAATATACTGATATTTGCCGTTTTTTCCTTGATATTCACTTTTGTTTATAACACCACAGTTTATCTTTCTCTCTTTTCTGCTCTTTCTGAATCACAGTCAGCACATTGTGTTGTGTATTCAGCCGTCAGCTCGAGGTAAAAGACAGATGAATATGTTAATGTGGAGACGTGCTGCTTGGAAAGTCAGTGTGTGATTACAAAACAAGTCTGCTTGTCAGAGTTGGCCTGATGTTGACATTTCCATCCCGGCAGCTCTGCGGGCCTGTTTGTCTGCTGCCTGGCTGTCAGACAGGTCAGAGTTTGGATGCACAGCCTAACAGACTCATGTGAAGGGCACCATCAATGAATTATGCAGAGTCAGGAGCATCTCAAAGGCCACTTTGTTTGAGGAGAGGAAGAGAAAGGTCAGCTTCCATCACTGTTTGAGAGGCAGCCTTCCAGGAGCTGGGTCGGCATATTGAACAATGCCTGCAGAGCTGGAATGTCAAGAGGTGGCCTGGAGTTTTTCTGCGATTAGCAACACCTTCAGTGTAAAGGAAGGTTTGCATTGTCATGAAAAAACAACAGCTTGGTTTGATGTCCCGGGACATTTTGTGCAACGAATAGGTGATAAATACCTGTACGTGATCATCACCTGCTCGGATCTATAGGCTACACTGTGAATGTTTCCAACTGCAATCAGTTCACTACAGAAATTAATTTCCCAGCAGATGTTTTATTTTAGTTTGAGGTTAATATGTAACTCAAGAGAAGTCTGCATAGTAGTGCGCAGAGCAGACGCACATAGTACACATGGTTCCTGTCCTCCTGATGAAGATGGTGAAAAATGTATTGATGTTTTAACTGGCCACAGATACATGTCGAAATTCAATTCAGTTGTCCTTATAGTGCTGTCATTCAACTAATGGTTTTCTGTAGTATTACAAATGCATACATCCATAAATGAGGCTTCAATCAAATAAAGTCACAGCACTCTCAGAGCCCTGTAGGGGTCGTGTCCTTCAGTAGCACAGAGAGATTCAATTCAATTTTATTTGCATAGCGCCAAATCATAATATACATTATCTCAAGGCACTTTACATAGAAGGTCAAGACTTCTATTTAATCTTATTTAATATAGAGAAACCTAACAGTTCCTACAATGAGCAAGCACTTTGGTGACTGTGGAGAGGAAAAACTCCCATGTTAGAAATCTCTTATTTTGTTTAAAGATAGACAAATTAGACTATGGTAACCATCACTTCAGTGATGTCATCATGACATCATTATGTCTGTATTACAATATGAAAAGTTATCATTGCCGGACTGGGGCATTAACAGTGTCCAGGGAATGTGTCTCCAAGCAAATGCTGTTTATTGTATTCGCTTATTCTGTGGTAAGATACCATCCATGTTTGTTACGTAACAGGAAAGATAACCATGTTTAAGATATTATAAAATATAAAAACATTTAAGCATGGGCCAGTTTTGACCAGTGGACAACTGAGACAATTCATATCAACTTTCTTTCCACCGATTATGTATGAAATCGTACCATGCCTTAAATAACTAAAAACACAGAATTAGAGCAGTCTGTTGAATCATTAGCACTCCAGCTACTGTGAAACCTTTGTTGATCAAATAAAGAAAACAGTCACTGTAGGACGCGGCTGTTAAACACAGTCTTTTGAATAAAATTGTTGGCTGAAGGCTGATTTGCACTGCAGTACTCACTGCATGTCTTTTTATAATCAAAGTCTTCTAGTGATAATTACCTGGCAGTATAAAGAAGGCTGAAGCTTCATTTACATTAGTCATTCCTCAAGGGGTGGTGTGCTGCAATATTTCAGGTACCATACCATTCAGGGAACCATATCCTGTCTGAAGGACACAATCTT